TGTGAAACGACCTTCAGATACATATTAGGAAAACATCACTTTGAATTGTCACAAACCACATCCTTTTGTTAAAAGGGGCAGGGAGCGGGGGACTTAGTTGCTCATAAAAGACACAAAAAGAGGTGGTTAACTGAGATTGGCTCTTAGTGGCAACTGCCCCTTTAGATTTTGAACCATTATTTATTTTATAAATCAAATTTAATCAAATCATTTGCTGTTAACTGAGGCCAGCCAGGTCCCTGAAGATTCAGTTAATCCCAAAAAACTGTAGTCCAAAGGGGATGAAGTTAGAATAGGAGAAGATAAATCCAACACAAATTACAGACTTAAACATCTTTCATAAGAGGTATCTTGGGGTTGTACTAGCCAACAGACTGGAATCTTTAGAAGAACTCATGCAGCACAGGCTCAGCTCCTGGCAGGAAGAGTTCTTGAAAAGGCTTGCACAACAACAGCTGGTCAGAGTAGGTTCTTTCAAATGACAGATCTTTAGAACGGCTTGAGCAGGTGAATAAAACAAGGTACTTTTCTTCCAACAATCATCCACTCCTCTTTGCTGCCCCACATAATCCATTAGTTATTATAAAAATGAACTCCATACTTCAGCTTCCTAACAGCTGTGGCTAAAGTATCTAGTTTTCCACCAGAAAAGCCTATCAAGATTCACACTATTCATGGTTGGAAGGCTCTGCATCCAGTTCTCAAAGATCTGGGATTTTGCAGCACCACATGAGCAAGTTACTGAACAAGTCTTCTAGTCTGCTACCCTACATAGTCAGGCTCATCCTGGAAGAGATTGCTTATGCATCTATGTGCATTAGATTCCACATCTGCTGTGAAAAAAAATTCTCTATTAAACTTTTTCACAGTGCTACACAGGATTATTTTTCAGTTGTCAAGTGGTCATCAACAGCAAATCTGCATGCTTCTGAATCAAGAGAGAGCAGCCAGAATAGCAAGCTGCTATGGTATTGTTTTGTCATGGACAATTTTTATTTTGACCTTTGAGACAGTACAAGGAGTCATTTATAAGCTGTTTTCTGCTTTTATTTGTTTTCAAGTCATTCTTGACACCTGCAGTTACATGAACATTTTTGGAAATGATTTGTGATTGCTTTTTTCCTAGGGCTGAGACTGAACGATTGGCACAAAATCATCCATTTGGTTCCTATGCCTAAGGCAAGACTAGAACTCAGTCTCCCAGCTTCTAGTCCAGTACCTTTAACCAGTACACTAAACTGGCTCTCATTTTCTGCATTGTATTTATCTGATCTGGCAGCTGTTGCAGTGAGCCAGTGTTAAGTGCCGAGAGAGATGGCCTCCTTTAATTCTCTGTTAGCCATTGGGCAAACAATCCTGAAACCTATTTCCCCTCCAGGAATTGTCAAAGGACTTCATTTTTGTCTTCTAATGTACTTAGTACATAACAGGTGCTTCTTCACATTTGCTTCTTTTCAATATTCCCAGGAGTCCCCTTCCCCAAACTGCAGCAATTCACTTCAGGACTATTTTCTGTACAGGCAGTAAGATAACAATTCACACATTTTACAATTGTATACATTTACATTTGAATACCACAAGAAAAATTGGAGGGGGAAACAGCCAATTTGCCCATGACAAATTCTTAAGGGTAGCCTGGATCATATCCAATGTATTCAGATTCTTAAAGAAGGCATGTAAACCATAGGGTTATAATTGGAAGACACTGATAACAGGAAGTGTATTGTTTTTAAACGTAAAAGTACAATGTGCTTACCAATTCATGGTGACCCAAGAAAGATCAGTGACTTTTGCATTGTAGTCCCACAGATTGTGCTGATTTGCTGAACATTAATGCACCCATATTTTAGTGTTCCTATTCTTATTCTGTAGGCTAGAGAGCAAATTTGGATCAGATATGTGTAATTTTTTCATATAAACTTTTATATTCTGAGCTCCTAATTTATCTTCTCAAAAATTTAAATTAGATTGCAATTCTCTGCAAATTGAAATACAGATAAAACTAATGAATTTTATTGAACTTTATTCTATTTATAAATTCTAAATAAACATTTCCAAAAAAGCCAACCTATGGAACAGACTGATCTTATGGATGCTTATTCAAATGTGTGTTTTCTCTTGCTAATCTATGGCCTATTTTAACTATAACCCCTGCCTTAGGTATACTTTCTGCATTTCTCTTGTCCAAATGTTACTAACATGCAGTATTTATTTATTTTTCAAATTTATATATGCCACCCATCTCACTATACAAGTGTCTCTAGGCGGTATTACAGATAAAAACTATAAAATCATTGTGTGTGTGTGTGTGTTAAAAACTACAAAAGGTTAAAATTAAGCCAAAAAGTGAAAACTACAATGCAAACTAAAAGTATTTATTTATTTTTCAAATTTATATATGCCACCCATCTCACTATACAAGTGTCTCTAGGCGGTATTACAGATAAAAACTATAAAATCATTGTGTGTGTGTGTGTGTTAAAAACTACAAAAGGTTAAAATTAAGCCAAAAAGTGAAAACTACAATGCAAACTAAAAAGCGGAGAGCACCCTCAGGCTACCAGCCACTCTCAGTGCTGTGAACCCCCATTGGGTCCCCATGCAAGTTGGCAGAGCCAGGTCTTAATGCGCTTTTGGAAGGCCAGCAGAGTGGCGGCCAATCTCACCTCAGGGGGCAAGATATTCCAGAGGGTGGGAGCCACGGCAGCAGAGGCTCTCCTCCTGGACCCTGCCAGTTGAAACTCTCTAGGCAACAGGGTCCATAACATACCCTTCCTGCCAGACCAGGTGGGACGGGTCGACATAATGAGGACAAGACGGATCCTCAGGTAGCCTGAGTATATGTTTATGTGTGGATGCACATATTCTAGACAGGCACTGTAAGTGTCAGGTTTGTCATAATTCTTAGCTACCCTGTGATTTTACATCCTGTGTAAGGGGACTATTGCTAAAAGGACAAGAGTGTAATTTCATGCAAGCTGAGTGTTAACCAAGAATAACTGGAAGTGTTTCCAACTTCTATAGCCATGGATGCTAAAGCAGATAGTAATGATAGTTATCTTGCACTAGAATGAAATATCAGCTTAGCCCTGAAATTTTATGCCAAAACAGTATTTGAGAAAGTCCTTTCAAAAACACTACACTAAAATAGTGTACCTACCTTATTTTTACATTTTTGTATCTCACATCATCACATTTTTTAAGAAGTTTCTAAAAAAACTAGGTTCAAGATGTCACATAGAACCATTCCTCTAGTAAGATTGAATAATAAAATATCAATATAAAGCTTCATTATATTAATATTTATTTTTGTGACATCTTTATGTGCTTGAATAAATGACTATATGAATTAACACAAACATTAATGTAACAGCTTAATCAGAAAAGAAATCGGCCATTTCTGGGTATGATAAATCTTAGCTCAATAAATATATGGTACATCTTTCAGGGAGAATTTAATTACCCTTGCATACTGTAGACATATGAAAGTGAGAGCAGAACTAAGAACAATGAATATATTGAATATCCAGTAAAGAGGTTGGACTTAAATCTTTTCAAATATTGAACTCACATAAAGTATATTGTGTTCCTGTACATCTGAATGTCTTCCCTCCCCCCCAACCCCCATTTAAAAGCAGCCATGGGATTGCGTCAATTCATACATGCTGGAACAGAATGACAAAAAAAATGTTATTTATTATTCTATATTCATACACCATTAATATTTAATTATACATTTAAAACAATATTTTACACCAAAGTTAACAAATGCTTGCCTCACTCCAAAGCTGCAATCCGAAGACTAAATTTGTTTTAAGATTTAGGACTTACGTCAGAAAAGTAATGCATGCAATCAATCAACACATTTATCACTGAATTTAGCATCCAAAATAACAGCTCACGAATTACAGAGCTGGTCACACATTTTTAACAGGTGACTATTCAAATATTATTTAAGGGCACCAAGATAATTGCACCCATTTATATCAGCATGCTGATTTTAAAAAATGTTCTCTATGTAAATGCAAGAACTCAGAAACCCAATGGGAAGCTTTAGAAAGCATGGCCTGAGTGTTAAAGACCAGTGGTCAACAAAGTGTTTTTCCTACAATTTCTGTAAGCAAAATTTTTTCAACATTTGGCTATGCTAATTAGGGTTGTGGTTGCACTTCACATCATCATAGGGATCACAATTGTTATTCCTGTTTTTAACTATTAGCTACTTGAGCTTATGCCCTAAATTTCCAAAATTAAACTGTAGGGTGCCATTACTTATTAGGATTGCCTCACCAGGCCCAATTATCCCAATGCTAAAATAAGATATAAAGCATTCCAGTCAGCCTGTCTCATGCAAGCACATTACATTTGTAACGTATCAGATGAGCTGATCATAATAATCCTAGGCAAATTAATGGGACTTTTCAAGCTTTGCTGCAGTAAGACCTGACTAAATGATAGCATGACTCTTCATATTTATCTACTTCTTCCAGTTTAACAATCAGTTAACTTCTGTTAACACAAACAGAATGTTCTGACTCTTCTGACATTTCCAGAAATAAAATCTAGTTGATTTACAAGCAAGAACCTCCAAATTAAAACAAAAGCATTTCCAGATCCAAAATTTTGCCAAATGATTATCACTTCATCATTCTTTCTTCCAAAAAACATCAAGTATATCCTCTTCTTAAATACAAAAAGCCCTAACCCCCTAAAGCAATTCAAACAATGTCTGGGATTAATTAATTCCAATCAAAGCTATTTAGTCACTGTGAAATGGACCTACTATAGGGAACGAAAAATGCTTCCTTGAAAGTATCTCAAGTCCATCCCTCACACTTAATCACTTGAGACAGAAAGGATGCTCACACAGAAATTGTTTCATACAGATTCATATATATATATTTTATATAT